CTGTACATTTGTCTAGAAAAGTCACTTACATATCAGATGAAAATTCGTTGAAATAGTTAAATTTTGATTCACTCCATAAACACGTATATGGCGACTTAGGCGGCTTTATAAGTACAGTAAGCTTCAGTTGTGCTCAGTAAATACTGTGAAATAGTCATTGTTAATATTCAGACATTTTATAGGTGATTTTAAACGGGCGATTTCTATGGCTGCCATTTTGTTTCATGACGATCCCTGCTATTAAGTACTACCGTACTTAATTGTAAAGAATACTGGTGTTGAATGTGACATTCTGCTTGCAAAACGTATAAACATTTCGAGAGCTATAGGGTGGCAAGACTGGGAGATGCAAAATTTCATAGATTCAAGTATTTCTAAAAATAAAATAAAATTGACGACAGAGAATTAACCACCATAAGTAATCACATATTATATCAAACTTTAATAGTTTCTAAACAACCATAATGGTTTTATTAACTTCATTTTAAATCTTTGATGAAGTCAATATATTCGTTTAAAAACTTTCAAGAAGAACAGCAACACATTCTGCAACATTGGTGTAAGCCTATATTCCTTGACTAAATCTAAGACAACCCAGTTTGGCAGCTTTAAGCTTTCAATAGCAAATCATAAAAAACAAAGTCATATATGAATTAGATAAGATGATGTTTTTCTGACTGTAATAAAATGCGAGAAAAACATTGTAAAGCCACTAGACCTAATAAAAAAAAGATATAAAAAGTGAATGGTAAACATACTTACTAACAATATTTGAAATGCTCACCGAAGATCGTTGTATAAAATATTTTGTAGCAGAGTAAATAAACACAGTCTTTTATGTATGTGGTTGAATTTGAATGACATCTGAGAACACTAGAGTAATACACGTGCAATTTTGCCAAAAAAAAAAAAAATATTCAAAGTTATTGTGCAGGCGTTAATTCCCCCGAAAGGGAGCCGAAGGCCACCTGGCGGTGTCACCTGTTTTAACCACTCGCACCAATATCCAATAGTGTATTGTCTGTTAGTCAGTTAGTAGACGCTAATATGATGGCACATAAAGGATGTTCAACGTTGCAATTTGTACTGTCGTAACGTCAGTGAAACGTGTGCATGCCATGAATCGCGAGAATAATTATGCACCTTGTAGCTACAATACAGCATAGCATATGAACTTGAAAAGGAAGAAATAGAAATATTTTTTACTCTTAATTTTGGGTTTATTTACTCTTCAAATAGAACTCTTTCGGGGACCCTGCGGAAGAGTACATCTACTAGTTTATTTACTTTAAAAGGCACGAGTGATATAATCTCTTACACACAGCTTAGCCTTGCTGGACTTCATACGAAATGATGTCGTTGCAAGCAAACGTAACTCTGAGGGCCTAGTTATGGTTTCATGTTTCTACTCAGGGCTGCTTGCCCGGAATGTCCAGGTGGTTAGGAGCGCTTGACTCGCAATCTGAGGGTCGCGGATTCGAATCCCCGTCCCACCAAAGATGCTTGCCCTTTCAGCCGTGGGGGCGTTATAATGTGACGGTCAATCCCATTATCAATCATAAAAGAGTAGTCCAAGAGTTGACGGTGAGTGGTGATGACTAGCTGCCTTCCCTCTAGTCTTTCACTGCTAAATTAGGGACGGCATGTGCAGATAGCCCTCGTGTAGCATTGCGCGAAATTAAAAACCAAACCAGAACTGCTTCTTAAAAATATAAAGTAACCACTCTGAACCATTTTGTTAAACTTTTTCTTCCTTGATGCAGATGTTTAGTGATTAATTTACATTATATGCCAATTGCTTGACTATGTTTTGATATCCAAACAGGTGGAAAGCAAGCCGGATATGTGGTGATGATATGATACCCTGTTTATCGTATTTTACTTCAGACAAAAAGTTATTGAAAGTACCGGTAGGTAAAGCCTTGATAGCTTTTTCTGTTAAAAAAATATTGTTGTTCTTCTAACCAGTATATATGTTGTTTGTTTATACATGTTTATCCAAAAGCTAAAGTTTCTTTTTCTATATGCCCCCTCTCCCTCAGCGGTAAGTCTGAGGCTTATAACGCAAAAAATCGTGTTCCTACACTAGCGGTGGGCACAGTACAGACAACCCATTATGAACTTTGTGCTTAACAACAACAACAACAAAAACAAAACTCTCGTCAGTATATACGTTTCTAGGTTTCCAATCTAGCGTTTTCCTCATCTCAATTCTGACTGTGTTACCTGATGAAAGATATATAAAAATGCATAACATTTTACATCAATGTAATGGCATAGTTATTACAGTGATTCCCAAATTCTTTTAGCGGCTCCGTCACTTTTTAAGATGCTAGTTCTCAAGGTGTATCACTAAGTTATTCGTACCTGATTTACGTTTCAGGTTTCAAGTATTCAACTCAGGAGCTTTGCTAGGCGAAACTGGTGTTATTTGATAATTTGGTTATTGTATATTGTTCAGAATCTTCAAATAATTTAATTTTTCATATTGCTTGCTCTGACTGTTACTTTTTGAGCAAACTATTAACCTCATATAATGATTATGAGGTGTTAGGCTTATCAAAGATAAAGCTAGAGAGCATGTCTGAGAAGACATTAGGACTAGAACTAGGCTAAGGGTTTTCGGTTGCTCTAGTATGTAACTTCAAAATCTAGTAAATGATGGTAAATTTGTTCTATGATCTTTTGTCAAAGTCCAATGCCTATAAAATATTATTTTACGCAATTAACTTTCATTCTACCGAAACGACATCTTTATTATATATCTACAATAATAAAAGAGCCTGTCTGTGTGTGTGTGTAACCGCCATAGCTCCAAGAGAAAAGAACCTAGAGACCTGAATCTTTGCACGCATCCTAAAGGGGTACTGACGGTGTGCGCCTGGGTATTATTTTTTTAGATTTGACTCAAAAAATTTTTGGTCAATTTTTTTGCTCTTTAATTTTGCCCTTAAGCCCCATAATTATGCTTCCTGAAGGTCTATAGAAAATTATCATATTGATTTCTAATTCTCACTCACTGAAAGAACAATTCGTGGAGGTTTTCTGCCAAATACTTTTTTCAAGACAAACATTGGAAGAAAAATACAAATATGAGAATTAAAAAAAGTTGAATTGAACTAAGTTAGAAAAACGGCAACAAACAACAGGAAGAAATATATGAATCAGAGAATATTGGATTATTCGGAGAATGAAAAGAATTAAAATAAAAACACGAGAAGAAAAAACGAATCTGGGAAGCTAAATTAAAACTTATTGCTTTTAAAAAGAGTTGAATTGAATTAAGTTCGGGAAATGGCAACAAATCAGTTAAAGAATTGGCGCATTGGGTTAGCTATAGAAATAATTAAGATAATGGAAACGCTTGTCTGGTACCTTGAGGCTTCTGTGAATCATGAGAGGACCTTTTATGCTAGTAAAGTATAATCCCAACTTCTCTGTGATTATTCTGTTTTCTACATGTTAGAATCACATGGCTGATTATTGTGCACTGAATCGGGTTTTTGATATCACTGAATGAATTAAATGAGTAGGCTCAGAGGAGTATTTTTATGATCGATTTTATCATAGACCTCATGTTATTTTATATGTGACTAATGTACATTATTATTTCCATAATAGATTCGATTGGAAGCAGCTGTCTGTAATCCCAAAAACCCTCTTTCGAAGGAGCAAACAGAAAAACTAGCTATTATGAGTGCTTACAGTCAGTTAAATGATTCCTACCGAAGACTTGCTGGTCATCAGGCTAAAGATTTCTTTAAAAGATGTACCTTCCGAGGATACGACTGTTCGTATAGGTAAAACTATTTTTTTCTTTTATTTTGTAAATACTTAAGAAATCATTTTTATTAAAATGTACTCAAATGGACAAATAATGTATCAGACAGGCGGCAGCACTGCCTATGTAGGGATGACTCGGATTGTTCATCGAAATGGTATTTTAAATAGCTCCTCAACAGGTCATCAGAACTCTATAATGCTATGCGATGTTTTCTTTTATAACAATACCGATGTAATGACTTAGTCACAAGTTCTGGGAATGTTTGTAAATATCATAGCAAAAAGTTTGAATTTATTGTTCTTCTTTCTTCTGCTTTTTTTAATACATAATAACTCAAAAACCGAAACAATGGTGTCAACCAACTTCACTGAGGTGACATAGTTTCGAAAAGAGTATCCGCTTTTATAAGTATTTTCAATAAGTAGTAGTAATTTTAAAAAATCACAATCCTAGTGTAAACGATGTTATCATTACCCCCTTGAAGTTAGCTTTCTTATAGAATTTGATGTCTGTATAAAAAGCTTAAGTACAGGGTGAAACAGGAATTACCAGTCAATAATAGATAAACAATAAATATTACAGTTGGAACCTTATTGTATTTAGAACTTGGTTATAAATAAAACCTTGCTATGTCTATTGAAACACTGCATTAAAGAAAATAAGCAAACAAGTAAAGAAAAAATGTTTCACAAAGGAAGTAAATGTAGGAATAGCAAATATCAATCCTTCAAAAACATTCTAAACAAGATAGTAGGGATGGCATTTGCATCATCCCTACATAATAGCACAGACAAGAATTAACATATAGTAATATATATACATGTATAAACATTCAATCATAACTGAATTGAATTTATCCTATTTTTATCTGTTAAAACTCTACAACACTGTATGCCTGTACTATTATGTAGGGCTGATACATATGCCATTTCTGCTATATTGTTTGCATTGTTTTAGAAGGATTGATATTAGCCTACATCCCTACATTTACTTCCTTTTTTTAAAAAGTTTTTCTTTACTTGTATCATGAATAACTTTGTATGGTTTTCTTACACTACGCGTTATTTGGTTTATTTTCCTGTCTAAGGAGAAAAGTTCTCAGTGTATGTTCGAGGACTTTCGCATTAAAAGGGCAGAACTGCAAGGATTATGTCATGTTAAAATCAGGGGTTCGATTCCTGCGTTGAGCACAGCACGTGGCTATTGTGCATCTTTGTGCTTAATAACAATCAGACATTTAAATAATAAACTTGCTCGTGGAATCTTATACTTGACATTTATTATTGATACCAATTTCAAATTGATAACAGTTATTCATTGTAAATTGATTAATTATTCAACTCACTCTAAAGGATAACATTACCTATTAATTCAGGACAGTTTATTACCGAAATTTATTGATACTGCTTTCGAACTGATTGAAGTCATTCATTGTAAACTCACTAATTAATCAACTCAACTCTAAGGTTTAAACTTTTCTTCTAGTCAGCTTAGACTTCACCCCTAGCTTGTCGTTTCCTTAAGATATCGATATTTTTATAGTTTATATGTGTTTAGTATTTTAATGTTTTGTTCATCAGAACGAGTTCTTTTACATGGTGTAATATTGTGGAAAGTCTAGAAGTTCCATAAAAGTTTAGGCCTCGGTGGTATCTTGAACGTTCTTGGAACAGAATACAATATACAAACGATAGACTATGTGAGTTATAATTAGTTAATCAGTTCATTAGTCAGTTAAAGAGTGTTAGTTAGCCAACGTGGATTAGCTTATTTGTCGATGATATAGTTAATCGTTTCGTGGGGGATTCAGCTGTCAAGTTAGGTATTCGGTCAGCCAGTCAACGTGTTTGTTACCGATCGATTAACGAAGAAATATTACGTAAATCACTTGAGTTTCTTTTTTAAGTTACGCATACCAACGATACCATTAGCTTCAGAATTTCTGTGAAAATGTTGTTTGTGAAGTTAGGCCTACCAGTGAACGTATTATGTTTAGAACCTGATTGAAGAAATTAATGAATTCTTTGTTGTTTAGTGAATTGGACGTTGCATTATTTTATGGAATAACTTAGAAAGCCCGCGCAAAGACAAAACACGTTACAACAGTATTTTCTATTTGATAATCACCTCATGCACTGAATTACCTAGACAGACACCATTATATGGTTCAGGTATAACTGTTCTATGTTGAATACATTTGATATTTAACCAGAATAATTATGCATCATCAAGTATTAATAATGCTTACAAATAGAGAGAGACCAATGATAAAAGACTATTTAATTGTCATAATGTGTTTGTTAATGCTAGCAGGATATTTTAAGATAAAAGGAAATCAATTTAAGAAGAGAACAATGTAACATTAAAAATTCTAGTGTGAAACTGATCAGTGTCGACCTCAGCAAACACGAGGTCTCAGAATTTCACGCTAGGGAACTTATCCCTCAAAGGGAAGGGTCGATAAGTCCTGGTAGGCGACTTAGGTCTTAAGAAATGTAATTGTAATTAACTTGTCAACCTTGTAAGATATTTTTACAGAAAAAAAGAAACATAGCTGAGGAACCGTTAAATGTATTTTCGCCTAACTACCAATTGGATAACATTTTCAGCCTTGTTCCTAAATATTTAGTTTTTAATTAAGTCTCAAATTAGGTGCATAGCTGTTGTTTTAAGCAATTAAAATATTACATATCTTCCTGCAGATTAGCGAGATATGAAAATAATGGATACGTTTTAACTTTTAATGTTATTCTTACCATTGCCTGGCTTATGTTTAAGGCCGACGTTCAAAATTAGGTTCCTTACATAGAGCAAGCAATTAAGTAGTTCCAATAGCTGTGAAAACATTTAAAATTAGTGTAGTATGTAATATGATCATAAAAAACATACGTGTTTTTTTCAGCAATTTCTCACAATTTACCAACTTTATGTATGGAAACTGCTACTCCTTCAATGTTCTGCCTTTGTTAGAGGATGGGGAAGACCTGCTAATCGCATATTCTACAGGACGATTGAGTGGTAAGAAATATTTATATATTATTTTATTTTAATACATTCTCAATGCCAATCGCAATATTGTGCAATTATGAATAAAATTTTCACAATTCACGAAAAGCAAAACAGATCCAGACATGTATTTTACCAAAAGATTTGTAGTTATTTATAATGCATTTTAATAAATATATTGCTTTATTCATATTAAGGTCCTTACTTACTGGTATTGATATTTAATATCAGTAAATGCCAGCACTGTAACTCTTTCTAGTCATTCCCATGCTAGATTCAAATACTTTACAGTAACTAACTATTGAAACTTAAGATTTATTAGTTGATCGCTCCAGTCGGCCAGAACTTCTTAACCAAACATAAAAACTCAGTGAGTCCAGTGTTTGATCCGAGGCGAGAAGGCATGCATTTAGAGTAAACGTATGACGCTTTTCTATTAGCTCAAACTTTGTAAGGAATTTAGGTTATGTTTGGCCAATCGATAACTAATACATGTTTACTGTAATAGTTCCACCTACGTACTTTCCAAAGAACGTATATCCGAAACAAAAAAGAAAACAATAAGGAAGGGTAGGCCCAGGTTAATAGAAGCAATCGAGCTATAGGTTAGGTTCAATATCCTTTTACTATTATCCAGCTTGGATAAACCTTAGCATATTTCTTAGGTCTGTCGAAGAATCTGGGCGAGTAACGCTATCATTGTCTTTGTTTTACTGACAAAAGATATTACTAAATCAAACACGTTGTTTTACAACTGTGTTGACAGAGAACTTAAATTGCTAAGTTCTTATGTATGTTATGTGTGTGATTGTTTCAAAAATAGTTCACATTTCAGCTGCCTTCACTCAAAAAACAAACACGCGTCACAGTAAGAAGTGTATGTGTGGTGGGAGGAGAATATTTATCTTGAAATTCTTGAAAATTAGAGGGGCAATCTGAGCCTTTTTAGATCCATTGAGGGCCGATATATGATAGACAATCAATGGGGTGGGGGTGGGGAGACACAAGCAAAATGAATGTGAAAATAAGAAGTTTAATGACCAAATTAAAATACTTTCTATCTTGACCAAAATCTCGATTCACATTGAGGAAATCGTAAGTCCTTCGAAAATTATGGGAGGGTCCCGAAATTGATGCTGGCTCACCTATATTGGAAACGGGGTCACTGGTCATCTCTGTTTCAACGCCTGTGAAACATACTCGCAAAGAACTACGTTTAAGTCTCGAAATACTACCTTTGTTATTACGAACACTCCTGATGATGGCAGCAGAAAAGTTACCGAAATACCACCAGAGGCACAGCAGTAAGTCTATGTTAAAAACCGGGTACTGATACCCGTTGGACACAGCACAGATAGCCCGTTATGTAGATTTGTCCTTATCTACAAACAAACAAAGATACCGAACCATGTAGTCTTTTAATTTTGGCCATCGGCTAAATTAAGTTTTTATTGTGCATTTTAAACGTTGTTCTTTTAATCTAAAATATTTTTATTACGTTAGTGCATTCTTAACTTTATCAAAGCTATAATGCAAATTACTTTATAAAAGGTAATGTGCATTATCCAAGTGAAAGAAAAATTGTCAACATTGCAAACAAAGATTTTATTTCAAACTTAGGCTTGCGATTGGAAATGGACGTTGAGTTAGAAGATTATGTAGGCGATTCCGTGATGCCAATTGGTGTCCGACTGGTCATCCATGATCCCCATGTGTTGCCTGACCCCACATATTACGGAATGGACATTCCACCCTTCAAGGAAACAACAGTAACAGTTAAACAGGTAGTTTATTTGATAGTTTAGATCCTTGCCTATACAGAACATTGACCAGTCTTCATTAATGAGAAGTTGCAATAAAAAGTATAAGTACTGGTAACAACAAAATACGACAGCAACAAAACAATGAATATCTTCCAGAACTAAGTAGAAACAATTTAAAAGAAGAAATGAAATTATAGAATATAACTGATTAGTGTTCCTAGGTTTCAAATGTGTTGTTCTGGAAATTTAAGGATCTGTCGTATTTTTTATAATTTCTGACATTTTTTGTTTGCTTTAGAATTTCGTGCAAAGCTACACAACGACTCTCAGCGCAAAGCCGTTCCTAATTTAGAACTGATAAGCTAGAGGAAAAGCAGCTAATTAACAGCACCTACTGCCAGTTTTTTTACTATTCTTGTCTGATCGAATAGTAATATTTGGCCATCACCCTTAGGCCCGGCATGGCCAGGTGGTTAGGGCACTCGACTCGCAATATGAGGGTCGCGGGTTCGAATCCCCGTCACACTAAACATGCTCGCCCTTTCAGCCGTGAGGGCGTTATAATGTGACGGTCAATCCCACTATTCGTTGGTAAAAGAGTAGCCCAATAGTTGGCGGTGGGTGGTGATGACTAGCTGCCTCCCCTCGTGTAGCCCTCGTGTAGCTTTGCGCGAAATTCAAAAAACAAACAAACAAACAATCCTCTTTGTTGAACAATAAATCATATTAATGTTGTTGAAAGCAGCTGAAAATGGTGATATTTGTTATTGACCAGTAGGGAGATTTCGAGAAAAGAGTCTGACAACCCTGATAAGGTCTAGCTGAATACATTAGCTATAAATAGGAGTCCAGTTTCATTTGCCTTGTTAGTGTTACATTTATATCGAGTTGGTTTATGATTCGTGTCTTGTTGCTAAAAAAAAACGATCTCTGTACTTTTGGACGGTGGGTATACTATAAATGTGAGGGTTAAACCCCATATTTTGGTCAGACAAGAATAACCCAAGGATCTGTGGTGGTTGGTTTTGACTAGCTGCCCTCCATCATTTCAAAATTAAGGACGGATTCTCGCAGATAGGCCTATGTGTAGTTTTACACGAATATTTTAAAAGAAATATTCAAGCACATTTATAATACTTCCACTGCTGAAAGCGAAGAGTATGTTAAACGACACAACTAACCGATTTAGCCATACTAGGCCCAACTTGCAAGTAATTAAAACTGTTGTGAAGTATAAGAACTACGTACATTGACGATTATAAGTGTCATCGTATTCTGGTGTTTTAAAGTCGCCTCTGATATTATATCGAAGGTCATGTTTATAGGTGCATGGTATTTAAAGGATAAGTTAAACACAAAGTTACCTGATCTTTGCAACAATGGTATGTGGAAGGACAGGTGTAGCGAGTCGGTGCAGGTGATTGAAAGAGATAAGACACGGTGTGAAGTAAAAATTATGGGCGTTTTTTTATGGAGGAACAGAAGAAAGGCTGATCGGCTAGGGTTTATGGTGAAAGATTAACAGAAGAAAGGCTGATCGGCTAGGGTGTATGGTAAAAGATTAACAGAAGAAAGGCTGATCGGCTAGGGTGTATGGTGAAAGATTAACAGAAGAAAGGCTGATCGGCTAGGGTGTATGGTAAAAGGTTAACAGAAGAAAGGCTGGTCGTTTTTTTTTTCCTTTTTTTACCATTACTTCGCCCCATGTAGATAGATCTTCACCAAATTTGGTATGGAAGTTCATTGGGTCCATGGGGAGATACATAAAAGAATTTTAGTTTCACATTTTGTGTTTTGCAGTTTTTATGAGCTTTTTTTTCTACAATTACCTATAAGGGAAACAACTTAAGATAACCTTTTATTAATCACGAACTTACATAAGTTCCGTCCAGGGGACGGGTACTCCAGCTAGTATATAAATATATGTTCATTCATATTATTGTCTTCAATACAAGTTCCTGCCCTAAATGGCACATTGTGGATGAACAAGATGTGTCCAGTACTGAAGTACGTTAATATTACTCGTAGGAACTGTCTTCTACGTTTATAGTTTTTAAGCCCAGGTCTTTTCTATCTTCACACCAGGCTTGCTTACTGTGTAATAGTTGAGCGGGGTTAAGCAGATTATCTAGCACGACAGTTATATGTGAAGAACCTTAGATTGAATAAAATCTTAGGCAGTGTTTATGTAATGTTTGTTTAATGAAGTCATCCGTAGCTGCAACAGACCATCTCTGTTTGCTTGTGCGTGACAATGTTTTGTTCGCATTTGTCAATAAAGTGTTGTTTCTGTTTGTAAAACATGTCGTTTCAAGTTTATTATTTGGTCGAGTTAAATTTATTTGCATATTGCATTTAAAATGTTTATTGAACTACCCGTTTTGTTGTTTTAGTAACTTACATGTTTGGTATCCCAACAATAAACTAAACACACAGTTACTCTATATTCGCAACAACGAGAGGTTCGTGTATCTAGTAGTTTAAAATGGCAAATGTAGACATTTCTTGCAGGTGGAATTAAAACATGGCGTGAAGTTAAAAGGAAAATATATTATTTACTGAAGAAGCAAGAAACAGGAGGATAACCGATCTTCAAGTGAACGACATGGTGAAACTAAAAAGTGGAGTAAACCGAAGTAAAATGGAAATAAAACTTTGTTTGCTAAAATAAAATGAAAATAAATTATACTCAAAATAAACCGGAAACCGAAGAAGAGTTGCACACACCACATTAACAGTTGAAAATAGGGACTTTAGGGAGTACATCTTTGTTCCTTCAATTCCATAAACTAGTCTGGTTGAAAACCCCAAAACAGGCACTTTCTCTGTGTATCGGACCAATCACAAAATTAGCCCAACATTGCACTTTCTCTGTGTATCGGACCAATCACAAAATTAGCCTAACATTGCACTTTCTCTGTGTATTGGACCGATCACAGAATTGGAATGAGTATCCGGACGTATCTCTTTTCCCTCACAGTCACAGAGCAATGCCACATACCCAGGGTAGTGTAAAACACGATATAACAATTTTATGAAACAAGAGGTAGCCTCCTACAAATATGTAATATGTATACATATTTTTTTTCCCTTCAAGCTAATAATGAAACGATTTTGTTTAAGCTACATGTCTACTTTCGCCAAGAAGTCTTTTAAAATCCATTCATTGTTTACTCTGATTTAAAAAACCATTTTATAAATATTTTAAAAGATGGCGATAGCTCTACACCTTTTATCACAAACTTCCGTTGATTCTTGTTGTCTCACCTTATCTGTTGATGCTTTCTAGCCCATAGCTAAACTGTTGTTAGTTCGAACTCACGTTTTACAATACTCTAGACCTTCCTTTTTAGTAGAGATAGTTTATGCTGACCAACAATGAGTGTTACAACACGCTAGACCTTGCTGTTTTAGTAGAGAGAGTTTAAGCTGACCAACAATAAATGTTACAACACGCTAGACCTTGCTGTTTTAGTAGAGAGAGTTTAAGCTGACCAACAATAAATGTTACAACACGTTAGACCTTGCTGTTTTAGTAGAGAGAGAGTTTAAGCTGACTAACAATGAGTGTTACAACACGCTAGACCTTGCTGTTTTAGTAGAGAGAGTTTAAGGTGACTAACAATGAGTGTTACAATACGTTAGACCTTGCTGTTGTAGTACAGAGAGCTGACTAACAATGAGTGTTACAACACGCTAGACCTTGCTGTTGTAGTACAGAGAGTTTAAGCTGACTAACAATGAGTGTTACAACACGCTAGACCTTGCTCTTTTAGTACTGAAAGTTTAAGCTGACTAACAATGAGTGTTACAACACGCTAGACCTTCCTTTTTAGTAGAGATAGTTTATGCTGACCAACAATGAGTGTTACAACACGCTAGACCTTGCTCTTTTAGTACTGAAAGTTTAAGCTGACTAACAATGAGTGTTACAATACATTAGACCTTGCTGTTGTAGTACAGAGAATGGGTGTTACAACACGCTAGACTTTGCTCTTTTAGTACTGAAAGCTTAAGCTGACTAACAATGAGTGTTACAATACGTTAGACCTTGCTGTTGTAGTAGAGAGAGAGTTTAAACTGACCAACAATAAATGTTACAACACGCTAGACCTTGCTGTTTTAGTAGAGAGAGTTTAAGCTGACTAACAATGAGTGTTACAATACGCTAGACCTTGCTGTTTTAGTAGAGAGAGTTTAAGCTGACCAACAATAAATGTTACAACACGCTAGACCTTGCTATTTTAATATAGAGATTTTAAGCCGACTAACAATGAGCTGTCTAACAGCTGTTTAAGATGTCTAACCTGATTTCTTGAGCTCCTTCCTCAAATTGGGTTATTGTTATTTTAATGCGTCACTAGATGTTGTTGTTTTTATAACGGTCATGACGTTTTACATTAAATAAATCATGTACAAAATATTGTTCTCCAGGTTTCAAGAAAAAGGCTGCAGGCTCCTTACCAAGATAAGTGTAAAGAAAATGTTATGAGTACAGGAGAGATAGGATATACACAAGAAGTGAGTGAAGCTTTTTAAAACATCAGAATGGAGAAACGTAGACTAAGCTTTAATTGTATATTTTATATTAATGCTGGAAACGTGTGTGTGTATTATAAATATATATATATAATTATTTAAGTTATCTAAAAACTTTTAATAAACAGACTACTTGTTTGTTTGTTTTTGAACTTAAACACAAAGCTACACAATGGGTTATCTGTGCTCTGCCACCAAGCGTATCGAAACCCGGTTTCTAGCGTTGTAAGTCCGTAGACATACCGCTGTGCCACTGGAGGGGGGGATTAACAGACTACATCAAAAGGAAAGACAGCGTGAAATTTACACAGCATCTCCAAATCTAAGATGAAATATAATTTAATTTAATTTTATAGAAAAGAAAAAGAGAAATTAAATAAATAAACGAATAATACACTTGAAAAAAGAATAAAAACGCAGCCACAAAACAAATATCTAACACCGTGGCACAAATAATAAATTGGGTAATTATGTAATGTTCCCTGGTGTTTTGAGGTATCGGCGGAAGTAAGACCCAAATGGTGTTAGAGGTGCATCATCTATCCAGTTTATTCGCCGACCTTATATACTTAGAATAAAAGAGAAAAGGAGCAGATGTGGGTGCTCTAGCCCACAACGTCACCACCTTTCGCTGTATGCAGCCAGATGTGGGGAGGTGGCTGCTCAGAAAATATATAAATACGAAACAACAAAATAGTAAAAAAAGATACTAATTAGAATTTTATACATCAATGGGGAAACTGTCCTTGAATTTCGTGTGTGTGTTTCTTCATACTGTTGAACCGTTGTAATAGCCCCCCCCCAGTAGCACAGCGGTATGTCTGCGGACTTACAACGCTAGAAACCGGGTTTCGATACCCGTAGTGGCAGAGCACAGATAGACCATTTTGTAGCTTTGTGCTTAATTCCAAACAAATGCTTAACATTATGTTAATGATGAAATGAATGTATTCAAAAATGTTGAACATTATGTTAGTGATGAAATGGGTGTATTCACAAATAATTAAATTCGTGTTATTGATTAAATAGGTGTATTTGGGAATGTTTAACATCATGTTAATGATGAAAAGGGTGTATTCAGGAATGTTTAACATCATGTTAATGATGAAATGGGTGTATACAGAAATAATTAAATTCGTGTTATTGATTAAATAGGTGTATTTGGGAATGTTTAACATCATGTTAATGATGAAAAGTGTATTCAGGAATGTTTAACATCGTGTTAATGATGAAATGGGTGTATTCAGGAATGTTTACCATCATGATAATGGTGAAAAGGGTGTACTTAGAAATGCTCAATAGGTAAATAAGCATGCTTTTATGGTTAATATTTTTCTCATCAACATATACATGTTTAAATGCTAGATTTATTAGAAAATATATGCAGTTTTTGGATAATTTATTCATCTAGATGTGCATGACGAAGTGTGCTCAAGAAGAAAACATGAGGCAATGCAATTGTGTTGACCCAACACTGGATCCTTTTATAAAAGATGATGCTATTTTGTGCGACTTAATGAATAGAACTCATGGTAAGTTAAGAGGACGTTAAATTTGAAAAAAAAATCACTTTCTAAAATGTATTTTTGGAAATACCTTAGATTAACCATTATTGTTTTACCGTGTTCTATCGTTGAGAATGGGGTTTCTTTTGCAATATTATGTAGAAATATTGCGAAGTCCAGTCACTTAACGATAACAAGTTAATTTATTCCTTCAGTAATGTTTTATACAGCTACAGGCTACGTTTACCGGTAGGCCTAAGTTTACAACGATGTTCCGACAGAACTCCGAAACTAATAGTACGCCTAACTCACAAATAAAGCTAAAGTTACTTTCAAAATTTAATCGCTAAGCAATTAATAATAAACACGCTGAATAAATCAACGATTAACTTTCTGATCACTGAATAACTAACACGATGACTGAATCACTCACAAATGGATTAACTGAACTAAGTAAATCAGTAATGAACAGTCCCATTCATACCGTCTAACTATCATTGAACTGATTTAGGCCTGGCATGGCCAGGTGATTATGGCACTCGACTTGCAATCTGCGGGTTCGAATCCTCGTCCCACCAAACATGCTCTTGGGGGGCGTTATAATGTGATGGTCAATCCCACTGTTCGTTGGTAAAAGAGTAACCCAAGAATTGGCGGTTGGTGCCTTCCCTCTGCTAAATTAGGGACGGCTAGCGCAAACAGCTCTCGTGTAGCTTTGCGCGAAATTCAAAAACTAACAAACAATCATATTAATACGCTATTCCACGAACGCTTGAAACGCCACGCAATTTTTACTGACCGAAATATCTAAATTTAAGTATTAGAAATATTTTCTACAACATTATGTTTCTTTACTAGTTTGTTGTTTGGACGATGTGCATAATAACCTAAGAACCAAGGCTGACTTGTGTGATTGTCCACTACCATGCGAGTAAGTATGTCGATTAATTAACCTTTTCATTTCATTCCTAAAAAGCCTACAATAGCAGTACAAAACATCCGAAAGTTGCGACTTTTTATTTTCATTTCACCTAAAGCTTCGGTTGATGATAATTTAATA